CTTCAGTTTTGAAGTCAACGGTCACCTACCCATCGATGGGTACAAGCTTCCCATCGCTGGGTGGGAGGTTGACTTCCAAACAAGGAAAGAATCAACCTTTAATGACCACCAACGGTCATGCCTTCCCATCGATGGTATACCCTTACCATCGCTGGGTACCCATCGATGGGATAGGCTTCCCATCGCTGGGCAAGGTCGTTCTGCCTTGTGGTAATTTTGCACCAAGGCTTGAACAGCGATGGGTAGAACTTCCCATCGCTGTTTGGCATGGTTCTGGAAATTGGTTTGGCTAAGGGACCGCTTACCCATCGATGGGAAGATCTTCCCATTGCTGGGTGGATGGTTAGTCAAGAACCCTTGGTTTTTGGCTTAACCACGGCCTAGCCAACCGGTGCAAAAACCAACCGAAAAATTCAAAGTTCTCCAAAATAAAAACCAAGTGTTTAGAACACTTATTTGATGTATTTGGCTAAGAAATCAAGTAAGACACTTTAAAAACCACGTCATTTAAATGAAAACCACGGCTAGCCAAATTTATGCCGTTTTGAAAGATTTTTGCCAAATGACCAAATCGCTTTCTACCAAAAGTTCCACAAAAACAACCTCTTGGCAAATTTGTACGGTTTCTCATTTTTGGTTAGTATTTTTCAACTTTTGGTGAACCAACCAAGCCTGCGGTTTTTGGTATCGGCTATTGGCTCTCGGCTTGCGGCCAAAGACTTTGGGCTTGCGGCCTACCGAACCAAAAACCAAACCCCGAACACCAAGTGCCTTTAATGACTTAAACATGTTTAAAAAACATTTTTATGATTTAAGAAATGCAATGAAAGATTTTAGCCTAAAGAGCCAAGGTGTAAAGATTGGGTCGGTCTTGATCACAATGAAGACCGACTCACGACACTAAAACTAAGGTCTTTGTTCTTGGTCTTATTTTAGCTCTTGTTCTTGTCTTCCTTCTTCGCCTTGTATATTCAACGTTTGACTTGATCACGGCGGTTTGGCATTATAAAAACCTGTCATAAGAACAAACACGGCTTTAGTACGAAAACGTGACATGCCCGTGTTTCAACAGTGAGCAGCGGAATCGCAGATGAATGGTAGTGAAGAAGGCAAAAGAAAGAGATGGCGTCCAGCGGCGGTTTTTAACTGATAATAGGAAGGCGAATCGGCAGGCCATGATTACCTATTTGTGGAGATCGTGCCCAGATGTCACGCGGAACCCAAGGAACGGCCCGGATCCCCGCTGGAGCGCCCACGTGGACTTTGCAAACTCCCCATTCCTCCACTTGGCCCAGTTGAGGACTGAGGAGTTGGGGGGCTTATGATGGGCCGATACCCAGTGGGCGGCCCAAATGAACCATTTACACAACTTCGGGTCAAGCACTTGGAAAATACTCAGGCCTGGGCCGGCCTATGGAGCCAGGCCCGGTTAACTTTAGACCAAGGATAGCTGGCAGAGTCAATCCAGAGAAGAAGACGGAGCATATCGGCGGTTACGGAGCCGGAAAAAAGGGATCGCGCCATTGGCGGGATAGACTCCATCGATTATGCATTACCTTAATTGCTTAGAGCTCATGTATAAATAGAGGAGACCCGAAAGAGGAGAACTCAAGCTAAACCAAGCTAATAATACATACCCAATTCTCGAATTCTCATTCTTAATTTTGTTCTTACGATCCGCCTTTTGAATCGGATCATTTGGTGGATTTATTGTCCATCAGCGTCTATCATAACAAACTGGTTTTAGAGCTACACAAGAAGAAATTACTGCTGCCCATGTTTTCTTTGATCTGGGACAACAAGAACCGCCGAAGTGTGTGTGGAGATCTGAATCGTGTGCTTGCGGAGCTAGAAAAAATATTATATACTCTTTCACTGCTTCTTCGATCTAGTCAGAATCCCACCACCGGTTAAAGAGCCGTCGCCGGAGCAATAACAAAGAACTCAACCATCTGTCGTTCACGAGCAGCAGGCTGCGTGAGTATGTACCGTCTAGATCTGATCGTGCACGAGACCTCTTGATTAGCGTTGTCATCATCTAGATCGATCACCAGTCGAGAGCTATCATTGTCCATCATTTTATTGAATTTTCATGATTGCTGTCAATTGTTGAGAAAAATATAAGGGACAGACAGTTTAAAAGGTCCGCCCTTTGTTTTATTAAAAATTTGTGATGGGCCGATATCCAACGAGCGGCCCAATTGAACCATTTAATAGGTTCCGGGTCAAGCGCTTGGGGAATACTTAGGCTTGGGCCGACCCATGGAGCTAAGCCCGGTCAATTCCAGTCTAAGAACAGCTGGTAGAGTCAATCCGGAGGAGGAGACGGAACTGAATGACGGAGACGAAGCCGGAAAAAAGGGATCACGCCATTGACGGGAGAGATTCCATTGATTATGTATTACCTTAATTGTCTAGAGCCCATGTATAAATAGAGGAGACCCGAAAGGGGAAAACTCAAGCTAAATCAAGCTAATAACATACCCAATTCTCGAATTCTTGTTCTTAATTCTATTCTTACGATCCGTTCTCTGAATCGGATCATTTGGTGGATTTATTGACCATCAAATTGGTGCTCTTGTTGAGAGTTCGAGAATTATACTCAGAGGAAACCCTCCACAAAGACGATGGTGCAGACACGCAGCAACGCCAACGCAGGTACCGGAGCTCCCCACCAGGGAGAGAACAGCTCCACTGGAGGCCAGAATCCCCCTATCACCACAGTGGAGGCAGAGGCCCTCATCTAGAGGGTCGGGATCACGGCTGAACAATTCAAGGAGGTGCTGGCGGCATTAAGGCCCAACCGCGAGGTTGTGGTGGAAGATGTGGCTGGGGGACCCATAGGCGAGAAGGCTGGACCTGCGGGCTCTCAGGGAAAAAAGAAGAAAGTGAGGCGATCCCAGAAGAAGAAGGCGACCAAGCCTAAAGGGAAGGCCAGAATGGAAGATGCGCTGTCCAAATTGGACGAGGAAGGCGAGTCGTCCTCTTTCGAGCGGAGGTCTGCTTTTGACCGCTTGGGAGAACCCAAGTCAAAGAAGCCCCGAACCTCCACGTTCGAACAGTTGCAAGACGCCCGGTCAGCCCGCAAGGGCGACCTGAGGGAGACGCTCAAGGAGAGGAGAGCAGAATCCACAGCGACCTCCAAGATCGGCTCAGAGGAGCAACGAAAGGCGGTCGAGGAAAAGGAAGCTGTAGAGCTGTGGAAGATGTATGAGCGACTGGAGAAGCGGCTGGACGCCCAAAACCCCTACCGCCAGGCGGTCTTTAGTGAGGTAACACCCTTTTCCAGGAGGATAATGTCCTGCCCTCTCCCGGACAACTTCAAAACACCACAGATCAAGGCGTACAACAGGACGACCGATCCCCAGGACCACCTTGCTCGCTTCAGGGCGAACGTGGTCATGTATGCGTACCCAGAAGAAATCAAGTGCCGATGCTTCCTGGTGACATTGGAAAGGCAGGCTTGTGAGTGGTTTCATAAGTTGCCCAAAGGATCGATAGATAAGTGGGGCGACCTGGCCAACAAATTCTTGGAGCACTTTGCATCCAGCCGAAGGCAAAAACTCCCCCTCTAACACTTGCTCAATGTAAAGATCCGGAAGGGAGAGCAGCTCCGAGAATTCATTAATAGGTGGGAGAAGGAGGCCAGGGACGTCCAAGGGGCGGACAACCTAGCCTTGATCACCATGCTCCAAGCTGCACTCCCCCAAGGGGATGTGCGCAAGGAGCTGCGACGGAATCCGCTCTCAACCTACCAGGAGATGTTGCCCAGGGCGAAATACTTGGCGTTGGAAGAAGAAGACGATGAGCCACCCGTCCGAAAGGAGAAGAAGAGCGGGCCACAGGTGGCGGAAGGAAAGAAAAGGAAAGATTACGGTAAGGGGCCGAACCCCACCGGATATCATGCGAACAGACATCCTGTTCATGCGGTGCAGTCTTTGCCTGCCCCTCCTCACAACTGGGAAAGCTATGGTGTGCAAGATGCACCCAAATACCGCGAGTACCATTGTAACAGCACCCACAACACGTCGGAGTGCGTTACGTTGAAGAAGGAGATGGACTAGTTGATCGCCAAGGGGCCGCCTCCTCGGTCGGAGCGACCATCCTCAAGTAACCGGACCTAGAGGAGACCGGCAGCCCCCACAGCAGCGATCACAGCAGGAGAAGGGCAGGAGGATGGACGACGACATCTAGGGAGAGATTGTGACGACCTAGATGAAGAGGAAAGACAGGGCCGCCGACACCTAGGGTGTCGGTTCATCATGGGAGGTAACACCGGAGGGGATTCGGTGTCCTCACGGAAGAAATGGAAAAATATGGTGCATTTGGCCGAGGTACAAAGGCCACCGCTACCCAAGCGGAAGAAGAAGGAACCTCTGGTTTTCACGGACGAGGATTACCCACCAGTCCTCAGCCCCCACAGGGACGCACTGGTGATAAAGGTGGAGATCAATAATGTGGTCGTCCATCCTACATTGGTCGATACTGGCAGTTCAGTCAACATTATGTACAGCAACACTTTCAAGGAGCTAGGGTTGTCCCGGAGCGACTTAAAGCCAATCCGTACCCCACTGTCAGGGTTCACCAGAGACACCATTGAAGCAGAAGGAACTATCATGGTGAAAGCTGGGGTAAGAGATGGCACCCACCGACTCTGGCTCGACATGGAATTCATGGTAGTGCACCTTGATTGTGCACACCATTTGATTCTGGGGAGACCAGGGTTGGAGGACCTGGAGTGCGTGATCTACCCCACCCATCTGTGCTTGAAGTTTAACACCCCCACAGGGGTAGGAGTGGCTAAAGGGAACCAGAGCTTATCTCGACCGTGTTACGTCAGGGCGACCAAAAGCCAAGCACGAGTAGACGAGAATGTGAGCACGATCTGTGCTGCAATCCAGAAGGAAGAGGGGCGACCTCGAGCTGAGCCAGCGGACGAAATTGAAGAAGTCACCTTGGATCCAGCCAAGCCAGAACAGAAGGTGAAGGTGGGTAAAACTTTACCACCTAGGTTAAAGGAACAACTGCTGGAGGTCCTTCAAGCATTCAAGGTGCTATTCGCTTGGGGCCCAGAGGACATGCCCGGGGTCTACCCAAGGATCATCTTCCATAGGTTGGCAGTAGACTCGACCCACAAGACAGTCAAGCAGAAGAAGCGTTTTCTTTCTTCAGAACGAAGAGAGTTCATCACCAAGCAGGTGACAACCCTGCAGTCCATTGGGCACATCCGGGAAGTCCGCTACCCGGAATGGTTGGCGAACGTAGTTCTCGCACCCAAAGGGAATACCTGGCAGATGTGCATCGATTATACCGACCTAAATAAAGCCTGCCCAATGGATCCTTTCCCTCTCCCCAACAGTGATCAGTTGGTTGATGAGACGGCAGGGTGTGAGCTGATGAGTTTTATGGATGCGTTTAGCGGGTACCATCAGATCAAGATGGCTGCGGCGGATGAAGAGAAGACCGCTTTCATTACCCCCAATGGAGTATACTGTTACAGGGTAATGCCCTTTGGCTTAAAGAATGCCGGTGCGACCTACGCACGGATGGTCAACAAACTGTTCGCACCGGTGTTGGGGGGATGCATGGAGGCGTATGTAGATGATATGATCATCAAGTCCAAGCAGATGGAGTCCCACGCCGATGATCTGGAGAAGGTTTTTAAGATCATGAAGAAATTCCAGCTTCGCCTCAATCCCAAGAAGTGTACATTTGGGGTTCAGGGGGGCAAGTTCCTAGGACACATGGTCAGTCGAAGAGGGATTGAGCCCAATCCAGAGAAGGTAAAGGCAATCTTAGAGATGGAAGCCCCAGGAATGTGAAGGAGGTCCAGCAGCTCACTGGCAGGATCGCTGCTCTCAGTCGCTTCTTATCGAAGATAGCTGATCGAGCGGCACCTTTAATTTCTTTCAGACCATTAAGAAAAACAAAGGGTTTGTCTTGACCAAAGAATGCCAACGGTCCTTTGAAGGGTTGAAGGCATACCTCATCTCCCCACTAGTGCTTTCAAAGCCAGAGCCCGGAGAGACCCTATTCCAGTACTTAGGAATCTCTCCTCGAGCTGTGAGCTCGGTGCTTGTGAGGGAGGAGGAGGGCGCACAGCGACCTGTGTACTATGTGGCCTGGGTGCTGCGGGGGGCAGAGCTGAGATATACAAACATGGAAAAAACCATCTTTGCGGTGGTGTGCACGGTGAAGAAGCTCACCCCATATTTCCAAGCCCACCCGGTCCACGTGTTATCCCAGATTCCGATGGGGACTCTCCTTCGGAGCCCAAATGCCCCGTCGCGAGTCAGCAAATGGGGAGTGTTCTTAGGGTCTTTCTAGATAGAGTTCAAGGCGCGACCAGCTATAAGAGGGCAGGCCTTGGCGGATTTCGTGGTAGAATGCACTGCGAGGGAAGTGGAATCTAATGGAGAGGAACCCGAAGGAAACTGGTGGACCGTGTACACTGATGGCTCGTCCGCGACTGATGCTTCGGGGGGAGGTGTCGTGGCAATATCACCGGAAGGGTTCAAAGCATACTACTCCGTGAGATTCCGGTTCAAGGTCTCAAACAATGAGGCTGAATATGAGGCGTTGCTTTGCGGTTTGAAGCTGGCAGCATCATTAAAAGCTGAACGGATTCAAGTCCGATGCGACTCCAAATAGATAGTAGGCCATGTCAAAGGAGAATTTGAAGCCAAGGATGAGCGAATGAAGAAGTACAGGGACACCGTTCTGGAGTTGCTTAAAGCATTTGGGGCGTACCGGATAGAGCAGGTCCCCCGAGAAGAGATTGCTGAGGCGGACATCCTGTCGAAGCTTGGTCCGGATTCCCCAGAACATATCAAGGCAATGACCCAGGAAGAAGAGTTGCTCGAGCCAAGCATCAGTCCCGGACAAGTGCTGGTCGTTACGCTCAAAGAGCCGGATTGGATCGATAAAATTACCATGTACATCCTTGATGGGTCGCTACCTACCGACCCAATCGCAGCAAAGGTGGTGAAACGACGTGCACCTAGCTACACGCTGGAGTGCGGTCGGCTGTACAAGCGGTCATACAATGGTACATTATTGAGATGCCTAAGAAGGGACGAGGCCAGAAGTTAATGGAGGAAATCCATGAAGGGATAAGCTCGGCACACCAAGGAGCCTTCACAATGTCTAGAAAGGTGACACTACAAGGGTATTTCTGGCCAACGATTATCAGAGATTACGCAGAATACGTGCGTAAGTGTAAGGTCTTCTAGGAGTTTCAAAAGGTGCCAGGGCAACCAGCGACGAATTATACCCCGATCAGCACGGCGATTCCCTTCGCTCGGTGGGGTATCGATCTGGTCGGCATTTTGCCCAGTGGAACAGGGAACAACATGTACCTGGTGGTCCCGATCGACTACTTTACTAAGTGGGTCGAGGCCGCCCCCGTGCCGACCATCACCGAAGAACAGATGAGGAAGTTTGTATCCAAGCAAATCTTGTGCCGATTCGGGGTACCCCAGCAGATCATCACCGAAAATGGAACCCAGTTCGAGGCCAGGGGGTTCAATGAGTTTCTACAAAGCTGGGGTATAAAGCACAGATATGCAGCGGTGGGGTACCCCCAGACCAATGGGCAGGTTGAGAACACCAATCGCACCATTGTAGATGGCCTGAAGAAGAAGATAATGGAATGTAAAAGCGCCTGGGTGGAGGAGTTACCTTACATCTTGTGGACCTGCAGAACTACCCCAAGGAAGGCTACGGGTGAAACTCCGTTCTCGCTTACATATGGGTTTGAAGCAAGGGCTCCAGCGGAGACCTCATTGCTGAGTTATAGAGTGGAGACATTTGACGCCCAGGAAAATGCAGAAAACTTAAGGGCAGAACTGCACCTCGTTGATGAGCGAAGAGAAAGGGCGTACATATGAGCGGAAAACTACCGCCGGCAAGTCAAGTCGTATCACGACCAACGGGTGCGACCAAGGCAGTTCAGAGTAGGCGACTGGGTCCTTAGAAAAAGGGAGGTCAGTCAGCCGACCGACGGGGGGAAGTTCGTAAAGAGTTTCGAAGGGCCGTACATCATAAAGGAGACGTTGGCCGATGGGACGTTTAGATTGCAAACACCATCTGGAGGCGACGTCCCGCGAGTATGGAATGCCGCTAATCTTATTAAATTTTATCAATAGATTGTATTTTGCCCATGTTTTCTCTTTTGAAAGTTTAATGGAACCAGCATTCTGGAATATCTTTATCCCCATTCCCGAAAAAAAAGGAAGCGACCAAAGAGATCGCTAATTAGACTACATGGTGATTCGCACTAAGACACCCAAGGGATGGAGTGCCAAACCCTGCTAAGCGACCAAGTATGAAGGCTACCAGGGAATGCTCACTCTTCGGTCGCCAGGGCGACTAAGGGGCGGCGCGACTAATCAAAAGGCGACGCCGTGGCAAGAAAATCTAAGAAAACGGCTAAGTCCAAAGTTTAGGATCTGCTGGTCGCATGAGCGACCTGAGAACCTTGGGAGTATGGCAACGCCGTAGGGGCTGAGGTACCCCAAAAATGGCTAAGTCAAAAAAGGCGGAGGTACCCCCCGACTAAGGTTCGAGGAGACCTAAACGCTCAAAATAAGGTACAAAAGAGAAGAAGATGGGACTTGTAAGTAAACAGGTAACATCAAAGTGCATTTATAAAAATGTTTATTACACTTCAAGGATAATCTTTTGCATCTACACATACAATACAGTTGAGAACAATCTCTGCATACTTTCAAAAGAAGGAAAATTTTTCATATATTTCTCATAAAAAAGAAAGGAAAAAATCAGAGCTTTGCACGGCTGAAGCCCGGAAAGGATGAAGAATCCAGGGGAAAAGGCAAGAAGGTTGAAGGGTAATTCTACAGCCGTATAGGCTGACAGGACTCCGATCACCGGCCGTCCAGAGCAACCACCTTTCTTTTCCATCATGGAACAGGAGTGGTCGCCCCCAGCCGCGGCAAAAGCCTACCGTTCTTCTCCTGCAAGGGAAGGAAGAGAGGCGACTCACTTTTCTGTGAGCCCCAATCGGCATCACCTAGATGAGGATGCAGACCCTGAGGCTGCGCGAGCTACCCCAGATCGCCTAGGGGCCTTACGGGGAAGGGAGCGACCATCTGAACGAGGTAGGGAAGAACCCAGTTCTTCCCCCACCACAACCTCATCTTTAGGCCTCACCGGTGAGCTGGTGCGACTCTCGCTAGTCTAGCGCTCCAGACTTGTGTAATACACACCCTCATGCTCCAAGAGGGGCAAGTGCTCATTCTGCACGCTCTCCCATGCCATGCACTGCAGCGAATGGAGGGGGCATGGGGCATCCCAGTCAATTTGCCCGTTGGGCAGACGGTTGGATGAAAGAGCCTTGTACGCCTCACTGAAATCATCATAAGGATTTTGGGGTATTGGGAGCGGTTTCACCGAGGGCCATTGCCGGCGAGGCAACCGGCGGCAGAACTCGTAGGGGTCTAGCCCCCCAGTCATTGGAGTTAACTGACTTGGGGGAGGAGGCAGGCTCCGGCGAAGAAGGAGCCGGCCCATCGGAGAGGTTTAAAGAAGTGGGGATTCCTTCAAACATGACAAAAATGGAGAGAGGGAAAGTGTTTGTGTAACACCCTATTCCGTCCAGGTCTGCAGCCCCTTTCGGACTAAAGTATTAACTTGGTAATCGTAAAATTTAAAACTTTTCAAACACTTTTATTTATCACAATAATATTTTTTTATATCATAAACAGTACAGAGTTTTCAATATTGCGGAAGCTTAACAAATCATAACCACAAACATAATTTATTTATATTCTTTAATTCAAAACCATCACATCCATTCCGACTATCTCGCCTCCGTCTGCCTCCAGGATCACGTCACATCATTCTATTGACCTGCGTGTAGCAAATAAAACACACTACACGCTTAGCGGTAAAGCTGAGTAAGCATATCTAATGCGTCGAACATCCACATAAATTGAATCTCAATTCATAATCAACCATTCGATATCATGCACATAATGTTCAGTTTAGATATTCAATAATCAATATACAATTTTCAACATTCATTATTCAATCATTCAACATGTATATTCATCATTCATATTCAACATTTTTATTCAACATACATCATACAATATTCATCATTTGTCATTCAACAATATCCTTAAACTATTCTTAGTCTAAGGCCAATCTATTTGATGTTTACCAACTCTTAAACGAATTCTAGTCTAACATAGTTAAACTATATTCAAGTTTAAGGTACTCTTATCTAACCCTTAAGCTAGGCCTAGTTTAAGATATAAATTTTCAAAAGAGGTTTTCAAAATCTTAAACTTACCTTCGATTAAGGTCATCCAAAAA